GCAAAAACACTGAAAAAACGTTTTTAAATTCTTTTTTTTTTTAAAATTTTCCCCCAAAAAAAAAAAAAAAAAAAAAAAAAAAAAAAAAAAACAAGCAGTTGGGAATGGTTTAAAAGTCCCAAATGGAAAACGGATTGTAGAACCTACATACCAAGATGTTCTTGCTTAGACTCGGGCCGTTTAACCATGCAGAGGATGAGCTGAGAGATGTGGCTGATGATGATGAAGGGTGGGGCCAGCGCAGGCCGGCTGTGGTATTCCACGATCAGGTTATATCTCTGGAACTTCCAGAAGATGTCTGTGTTACCCTGCACCACTTGAAATGTGTAACTGCAAATTGTGATACAAGTAGTCAAAAGTATTATCTTGATGGGTTATTTTTTTTAGATTCAGTGCTTTGCAGAAGTATTCATATGCTTTGAAAATGTTCACATTTTGTCAATTTACAACCATAAAAGTCAATGTAGTTTTCTGGTATTGTAATGGGGTATACCAGCATAAAGTAGAAACTGATTAAGTTGAAAGAAATATATACATGTTTCTGAAAAGTGTGACATGCAATTGTATTTCAGTCATAATGATAAAATAGAAACACCATTTGACTTAATTACAGCTGTGAATCTTATCTTTACAAGCGTTGTCTCTTCCTTTCAATCATCTTTCAATGGATATTCTGGAACTTTTTTAATAACACTGAACTTAAGGGTATTTCAGTTTATGTGTAATGACTGCATATAACATGCTCTATGCTTTCTGAAATGAATGACAATAAACAATAAGTTTTTTTTCCACAATATTAATTTTTTTGGAGCTGTATTTGTAGAAACTGACACATTTGCTGATTTTATTTTTAATTTTTTTTGATAGATATCTTAAACCGAGTCAGATTGGACAGAGAGCAACTATAAGCACCATTTTTAATTATTTCTTCAAATTCTCAGTTGCATTTAGACATTTTTAGAAATGTAGAAATTTGACTCGGTCTAACCCATAAATATGTTTTAGTTTGTATGTTTAAAGCTCTTTTCACTTCCCAGCTATGAACTGCTTGCATAGATTTGTCACATGAAACACAATTAAAAAAAACAGGGAAGTTTGTAATTCTGATATCTCAGAAGGTCAAAATGTTCCAGAGGTGTGAATATTTTTTGCATGGCACTCTAATTCACAATGAAAAAAACAATAGATTTGAAATGTGAGTTGTTGACATCAGCAGCTTTCTGCATGTATTTTAAACACTTGACTGACCTGAACATTGCAATAAGGAGGTTGAGCAGAAGCACATTGGTGACAAGGAGGAAGATAACTAGCAGCAGAATCACCAGCCAGTTGGCGTACTTATTGGGGCACGGCGGTAGATGACCCTCGAGAATCAGAGTTGAGTTTTCAGTGCAGGTAATATTTGGCATTCGGGCAGCTGGGTCACATTTCAGGAGAAAAGAAAGACATAGACAAAATTAGAAACTCTTGGTCAGATGGTCAGAAAGTCATCCTTGTTTGTAATATTACAGCTATGAGTTAAGTTGTAATATTTTTTTGTACTAGAAAAATATATATTTATATGTTCAAAGACAATAAATGACATCTTTCAACATGGTGTATTTGTTTTTTACCATCTATATCATCCAGTGGAATTTGGCCAAATATGTGCAGATAAGGGCGGTACAAGGCTCTACGAAACACCCAGTCAATCCGTGGGTCATTAGGGTGGAGAAGAGCCTGCGTAGCTACGCCATAAGCAATTAGCCACACACTCAGGAAAAAGAGGAAGAAGAAAACATCCTTCATCTGTAAGACATGGGTATTTTACATGTTAATAGCTATATTAGTGGGAAAATGTCTAAATTAATGACTTTATTTCCTAGTAGGACCATTTGACTTGATCACCATTCTTTCCACAATGATGATCTTGGGGCCGAGTTGCTTATTGATGGCAAAGATGTGGATGAGACGTAGAGTAAAAACCATAAAATCTATGGCCAGAACTGTCCGTCCCGCTTCAAAGGTGTCTTCCGACATCCTGCAGAATCAAAGACCAACGTTGGTTCAATACAGTATTTCATTCCCTAATCAACTCATTTAATTTGACGATGAAGTTCACATTTTTATAACTATTATGACAGAACACCCATATATTATTTAATTTGCACTTTTCCATTATTGTTGTACCTGCAGGAAACCCCAACAACAAAGAGTAAGATGGCCACCATGTCACACTTGTTCCAGTTGTCCTCTACGTAGAGCTTGAACTTCTTCAGGATGTTAATTTCTTCGTCAGTGAAGAAACTCTGTCATAGAACAAAGTTATTGCCTTAACATCATGTTTTCTGGAGGATTTTTACCAGTTTAATTTATTGCATCATCCGCAAAAATGTACGCATTGCTCATTAAACAAACACGTCCATTATACCTGCTAATTCTAGCATCTCTGGATGTATGAATGCATGTTTGCATGTATGTATTTTGACATAGTCAGATAATGCAACAGCGGTGAAGTCGTGTCTTATGTCGGTCTGCTGCACCCAGGGGAGCAATGCTCCAAGGGATCACGGCAAGAAGCGATCATGCTTATCTGACCTGTCTCCCAGGGAGAGAGGGAAAGGAATGCAGAGAGGTGAGAGGCTCATGAGTCCTCAAATTCCCTACAGAGAATGAGCTCACTCTAACAAAATCACATCATCGCCTACTCAGATGTGTCTGACTTGTCGGGACTGAATGCTTTAGCACATCTCATAAAAGTGCTGCTCCTTCACAAAAGGTGTGATGTTCTTGCATAAGACAGCTGAATATTCCTGACAAATTGTCCCCAAAAGAAGGACGGGCTACGTTGAGACGGCTTTGAAAATATTAAGCAGAACACTTAGGGACCATGTGTGATTCTGTATGTATGTCACCTGTCGAATTTCTTCCAGCACCAAGGTGAACACCCAGAAGTAGAGCATTATCTCCGGAACTTTAGGACCATCGGGCGGGCTCTTGAAGTCCAGAAGAAGAACGTAAGTGAAGAGGCAGAGGAAGGCGAAGTACATGATGACGTTGCCAAAGAACACAGTGACAGGAGCGCTCCAGAAGCGACGCCAGCGGCGGAGCAGGAAGCGCCACCAAACACTGGCACAGCTCTGAGATGTCTGACCTCCAGGTGCAGCATCCCTGAAAAAAAACAACCATGCCACAAATACAGTGAAGCAAACACAGTGCATGCACAAGAGTGTATGACACAAAGATTTTTATTTATTCGAGGTCAGCTAACAACATATTAAAGCTTATTTTAATCAAATATCTATGTTAGTTTTCCTGGCAGTTAATTAAATGATTTACAGTGAAAACACTTTGAAGGCAAACTCACAAAGGATCATCGTCATCCGTTAGCAGTAAAGCCTTTTCTGTGTCGAGGCTGTCCAGCTCCACAAACTCCTTTTTACCATCACGATTATCCAGTTCTTCATCGCTGAAACACAAACCAGTCTGTCAGTGAACATAAGCAAATAAATACCTGCCAACTGCATGGTTAAAGTTGTGTAATACAATTTTTGTTCACCTAAACATAATGAGGTTGGTCCAAATAAGGGGTGGAAAGAAGAAAGAGACCACAAGTTTGGAGATGGCAGTGTCTGTCGTCATCGCCCCCCACCAAAGCTTTGTGAGGAGAGCCTGTGGTGAGAGTTGGCATTAGGATAATTTCTAGCAGTGAAGGATTAACTTGAATGAAAAAAAGTTTACCACAAGGGGGCACTATAGGTCTTTCTATTTAGACACCATACTGCTCTGGGACTACATTCTTGAGGACACATATTAAGAGTTATATAACCAAAAGACATAACAAAAAAACAAACAAAAAAAAAAAAAAAACAAACACACAATATATGATTCACGTTTGGTTTCACAGCTGCAGTTTGAATTTAGTCTCCTATGTGTCGAGGCACCTGATGCTTTGCCATGACTATGTCCACCCTAACAAAATAGTGTTGCCTTGCATATTTTTTATAATAATACACATGTACTGAATCATAATTAACTGCTTCTGAGTAAAAAAAGACTACAATATTCCAACTGTGTCCTTTAAATAAAAGATGTTATTCACTGTGCTCTAACTTTCCCTGCTGATACTGAATACCAATTAACTCTCACTGATGACTTTCTAATGACAAGGACATATCTTGGAGGGAAATTTGGGAAGAAAAAATGCGCTGTATGAAGTATCTAATGGAATACACTGCTCTGATTAATAACCATAATGAGAATGTCACTAAGTAACCTAGATATACATGTCAGTTTTCACAACATTGTTCTGCAGCAGACTGACAGGCTGAGTAAGAAAACTTGGCCTCCAATCTCAGGAGGCCAAATGTTATCTTCTTGTTACCTGAACTCCATCGTGGGCAAAGAAAGATTTGGCATCAGCCTCAGTTGCCAAGTTGAGAACAGTGGATTTACTCCAGCACTGTGTTCTTCTCACTAACAAAGCATAGGCCCTGTCTTCACTGTTGGAATAACACTCTCCAAAGACATCTGAAAAAAAAACAAAAAAACAACAAGAACAGTTAGTAAAGTGTCAACCAATTAAATCCTTTATTTTGGACAATTTCCGTCTTTCAGATTTAGAGTTTTATTCTCTTCCAATGGCATTTGTTTGTGCTTCTCTCAAGACAATGCTGGTTTGAGGTAGGGGGTATGCTTACTTGACCTTTGGATTCTGTAACCACACTGTCAACTCTTATCATCGGACAGTTTAAGAACTCACCAAGGGCAAACTGCTCGTACTTGGCCTCCTTCATACTGCGTGCAGACTCAGCCTCAGATTCCAGGCGTGCCATCTCTTTCAGAATCTTACATCCTGCCAGGGCTGCTGCAACTGCCTCGGGGCCCTGAAGGATTAAAAGAAAGCTGGATCCAAGAAATGGGGCTGGAAGAAACATCTAGTGAATTTGGGATTTATTTTTTGCATCTCAATTACTGTGCATGCTGCATCAGCTATGTTTAAGAGGCAAATAGTAGAATTGACCCCTTAGTCTTTAAGTTGCTGTTTTAAAAGCATAGTTCTGGATTTTTTTAAAGTGCGTTTCGGATAAAATATTCAGAGAAGTCTAACATCAGTAGATAACTCTCATAGTTTAATATAAATCCAGATTAGTTGATCCTGAAAGCAAAAGCCATTGGCCAAGACCACAGTAGAGTTTCAAAGAATAACCCTAATCTTATAAAGGCCATAGAAGATTATGCAAATACTTATATGTGAACCTTTAACCTGTCATCATGTTTGCACTGGAAGGTGGTGTACCACTTGTGACCTTCCTGTGTAGAACGTGTTCTGATAATAGCACAGATAACGAATTTGCAGATAGAGTAAATATTTAGCTGAAAAGTAAGGCAGATTAGAAATGCTGCACATCTTCCATTTCAAGTGCTTGTTTTACTGAAATGGATCACCAGAATTTCACTTCACAAAAAATGCTGTACTATTCATTCATTCATTTATTTATTTGCCATGATTTTCTACCTATGTCCTGTTATCTATGGGATGAGAAAATCACCCCCTCTGCTCTCCAAAGAGCTTTAACACAGTCTGTTTGGCTATTCACTATTAAATCTGCATTTCATTCGGCTTTCCTTTCATTCCTCCCAGGTTTCATTTTCAGTTAATTCAGTGAACTGAAAGAACCAAAAGTAATTTATTACAGAGAACTTAATTTACCACAGGTTACATTTTCTGATTGAAAATACAGATGTGTTTTATCATTGTCTGGTGATTTTAATCACTTACTGGAATAAATTGAAGCTAGTGACTTGCTGGACTTGAATATGTTAGAGGTTTGGTGGTTTTATTCGGAATCGTAAAATGTCGGTGAAAGGGAGACAAAGACATTAAACAACCCTTTATAACAATACTTTTAATACTTTTTGAGTATTATGTTCATCTGTTTCTGTTCTGAGAGAGAGGAAATTGGCTCCAGGCACACTGAGATAATGACAAAAAATGGCTGAAAATGTTTGCACACCTAGCACCAATACCCAATGACCTGTCTTTGTCACACTGTTTAATAATCGAGGGCCCATGTAGTGCAATTTCTTTCTTTTGGTGACTGGAGGAGATGTGCATAAGAGTCCCTGACCTGCATAGGGTGATCATTTCTCCCTTTATGTGGGTTCTGGCCTCAGGGGAAACATCTAAAGATTATTAGATGTAGTCATCTTGTATGTAGAGAGTTACCAGCAGTCATTTTGTTCAATAAAGCCTAATGTGTTTCAAGAAGCTTGGGTGATTTCACTTCCTTTAAATACCTGAAGAATGTTGTGGTAAAACTAATTACTGTCAGTATTAACCTCCATCTCTCAGGGAGATGACAACAAGGCATATTTCCCAAGATACCAAGCTATTTTCTTGTAAGTAAGGATTTATACTTTGATAGGTTTTTCTTAAACAGAAAGACTCTGGCTCATGGGAGCGTACCAGTTAAACGACGCTCTTCATATACAACAAAAATCTCATAATACATCTACTTTTCTTTCTTTCTTTTTTTTATAACACTACCTGTCCGTTCTTCATCAGATAACATCCAGTTAATAACTTGCAAGTACATCAGCACAAGAGCAGCAGTACAGTCTTTAAATTAAGAGTATGCATAGACTCTCCATCCCTATTTCATTTCAATGTATTATGATTTCTATCCCTCATGCTCTATTATATATATATACATACAGACAGACATGCATGCATACATACATATAAGCCATGAGATGAGTATATACGCTGCCTTGCATTTTGATGAAGCTTTCAGTGACAGAGAGACGCTTCAAACAATCAAGTTATGAATGGTGCTATCCAGGCGACAGCATGAGAGGGAAAACGACTTGCAGTGGGGGTGTGCACACACTGCATGCAATTAACAGTCTTTCAGATAATATTTGAAATAAGAAGCCAGCCAGGAAGGAGCACATTAAGGTGACCACTTGTGAGATTACAATAATTGGTTGCCTCACTACAGGGATGACTGGAGAAGAAATTAAAAACGGGAGCCTTGAAAAATTGTTTAAAACAAAAAAGGGATCATCATTGATTTATGTCATTTGAACTGTTCAAAGAGCATCAGTCCCATGTCTGGATATATTTCTCATTAACTTCATCAGGACTTTAGATATGCCTTCCCTATCTCACCAAGGGCCGACTGCCTCAGCAAGCGACATGACCTTCATTTCAATAATGTTCTTTAAGATAAGATTGCTTTTTAGCTCACCTAGTTACAGCACTCTTTTATCTAGAGTGACATTTGCATATGGCAGGACTGACCTACACCTGCTCTGTGTTTGGCGTCATGCCTCTTGTCACCCTTCATTTGAAGTTACACTCTCTGTGTAACTCACACAAGCCTGGAGTTCTGATAGAGTAGATTTTTCCAGTGCCAGGCATATTTAGGGTGTTGCTGATTGATATATGACAAGCTGGAACTGAAATAAGCAAAGAAGCTGATAAGACTGACCATGGCCCAAAAGTAGTTAGCCATCTGCTGTCGGTTCTGAAGAACGGCCCAGAGAAAAAGATCTCGCCAAGGATGTTCACAGCGCTCCTCCAGCTCGGGCAGGTTCTTCTGGCTGTGGAACAGTCGGCCCTTTGGTGGCTTCTCCTGGGGTGCATAGACAGTACACTGCATGTATTAAACATGTTTAGTAAATGGGGCAGCTGCAGACACTCAGCACAACATTCAGCGTCTAAATGAGTTATAGAATTGATGGCGTTCATTTCTGAATTAAGCAATTCATATGGCTATAGGAGGTCATTTTTGCCTGATCGCTTTTTTTTTCTTTTGTTTCATAAAAATCTAAGAAAACCCAAAAGACAATTGGAGTGCAAAGAAGAGTACAGAACATGGAAAATAGCAAGTACTAAAATCAAGTCATATTTGAACAAACACATATGACTTGATTTACATTGGTAAAATGCTATTTTATCTTAATCATAGCATGAAATTGTCAATTAAAGATTCAATATCCTCCCTGAATTCAGTGTACCAAGAAATTTTGTATTTTATTTGATTCATTGTAAATTCTGATGTTTCAAGTGACACAATCTGAGAAAGTCAGAAGACAAAATTAGACACAAGTCAGTTGAAAACTATGAAATGTGTCAAAAATTGCCATTTAAATGACAAATAAATGGGTTGAGAACTACCACTTAGGTTTAGAATTTGACTTGACTTCAAAGTTAGAAATTTGTCATCTGAAATCAATAATTATTCACTCAAGTTGACATATGAGTCACAGTCTGTGTATGTCACTCACTGCTGGCATCTTTTGATAAAAGCCTTTGCAGGAGTCATGCAGAAAGTCCTTCAGGACTTTGGCGACTTCAAACAGGGTGAAGCGGGGCTTCCCTTGCTCCGAGGGATGGTGTCCTGGCGGACCAGGTGTTCTTGCTGCCCCAAGCAAGAGCTGCTTCTCTTCATATTTTTTCAGAAGCAGGTTGTGAAGGAGGCTCTTCTCCGACACAGACCAGTAAAGCTCCTGTAGGCGACCGTAGGTGAGGAATTCCCCCAAGTTCACCCCGTTGTCCACAAAGAGGCGCACAAAGTCTGGTTTGTCGTTGATGAGGGCATCCATCATCACTTCCTCAAGGTCACAAGCCTGCAATAATTATAGGGTTTTGTAACAATCAGTCACAAAGCAGTTTAATGAAATGTTTTATAATGATTAGGTCATTGACTTTTTTTTTTTTACAACAGTACACACTGATGTTCTTAGCTGAATGCAATCTCATGAGAAACAGCTAGTTAGTAAGTCTATAAAAACAAATGTTGGCATGTTGGATAGATTTACAGCCATCCTAACAGGACAAAATGTGTGAGCAAGGACGATCACAAGTCTACAGCTTCATTGTTGACACCGTGATTCAATTATGATTTTAGCAAATGTTAAAAGTATAACTTGACATACTAACAAAATAATGTGTGATATTAAATATCAGACATTTCTGCAAAGTCACAGGAGTCAGCTGTCAGCTGTAAATCAAATGCTGTAAATAAAGCATTTGTCTGGTTGTCTGGTTGAAAGTACAAGTTTGCAATATGATCAGTTGTACTGTGTCTTAACACAACACTGCATACAAATTCAAATTGCAATAGACTAATAAACAGAATGGACTAAAAAAACAGAAATATGTGAATCAGAAGGTACAAATCAGATACCAATCTGTGTTGTTAGCCACACATAGTGTAATGTTTTTTACAGCCCACACTGCAACACATATGGGGAGTGTCCACACATAATCAACTGAAAGCACCAGCTGTGGTGCAACAAATAACTTCTTTTTGCAAGTTCTTGTGCTTCCCCCACATCCCTGCTATCCTGGGAGGTGAGCCATATTGTTCTTGTTAAAATATGGGCATTTAATGTTGCAGCTGCAGTGACCAAGTGATAACATTACAATTTTATGCAAAAGCTCTGCTTGCACTGATCGACATTCTCTTACCTTTACATTATTAATCTTTGAGCAGCTTCATCTGATGGCAGGTGAAGCTGCTCAAACAACATGAATATTTTGGATAACAATTATTTTAACAATTTCGACATTAAGCCTTTATCCTTAAATGGTAAATTAATTTCTACATTTACAAAAACAACAACAGAACAATATAATATCACAGCAATAGTAACATCCCCTTACACTGCATGAACTGTATTCCCTTCATTGCAATGCACTTGCACTGTTGAAATGTTCAAAAGTGACACACATATTTATAAGACATGACAGAAAGTGATCCTAAACTTAGTACTATCACCTTTAAACCAACGTAAGTTGTTATCTGGTCCACCAACATACATGGCAAGATGGAATACAGATTGAGAGAGATATTCAGTATTTACCCACCTTCCACTCCACATCTCCATTAAAGATGTCACTCTTGGCAATGTCCACTCTGTTCCAGGCCACAGCCAGCTTTAGCTCATCCAGAAAGTCTTGAGCTTCTTGACTTTGACTCTTACAAGCTGATAAACACACAGACACATAAAATGCCAACAGGTCCACAGGCAATGAAGAGCTCAACATTTCGCACACAGAAATGCAGAAATTGTGCGACAGAAAGGGTTCCATCTGTAAGACGAACTTTACCCTTGACAAGAGCTTTGAGAATAACAGTATCCAGCTCGGAGCTTTCCTGTTCAGGGTCGTGGACAGTCAGAAGATGCCCGTGATCAAGTATCTTTTGGATCTGTCAGGCAAGTTAACAGCCAGTTAACAGAGTAAACATATTTTTAAATTCTATAAAATTTGAAAAATAAACAACAAATTCATGAAACATTGAATAATTGTCTTGTCTGTCATGCTACATTTAGGTAATCTTATACAAATTTCTTAAGATAAATATGAAATTCACACAGTAGCTTGTCTCACTGTGTTTCCCAGTGTGCCCCACTTTTATCCCAGTGTTCAATACTTGACAAGTGCATATCTTTGTAAGTGTCTGCCTCCCTGCTGTGTGCATGGCTCTCACCAGCTTGACCCAGTTACTGATGTCTGTGCTGTGGTGGGCATTGGGAAAGGTGTCCAACAGTAGCTCATGAACGCTGTCTGCGTCCCAGCAGCCTCTGTTCATCAGCGTGACTAGGATGTCAGCCACGCCTCCAGAGCCTGCCAGAATCAGCCACGGTGTGGAATTTCCAATGCCCTTACACATCCTCTGCAAGAAGAGAAACAATTTTATCAGCAGACAGCCACGTTGTTTAGATAGTGCTGTGCTCTTCCATCTCCTCAGTTATCGCCCTGCTTATGAAAAATAATTGTTGGACAAGCCTTTTCTTTTAGATGAAGAGATTAGTTGTGAGATAACATGAAGAGTTTGTTGTTTGTCCACCTTTGGCTTGATACTTTAGCTGATCAGAGCCTGATTCTACTAAGTCTACTAACGTATGTTAAGAGTTATCTAAAGAGTCAAACAGTGGAAATCAAAATCTGACTTTCTAAAAGACCATTTTGGGTTATTGTTTTACTGTGGAATAACTAAGACAGCATAAGGAAATAAAACAGTTTACCTTTAGGATTCTGGGCTCCCCATGGACCAGGAGACACAGAACAGGGATCTCAAAACTTCCTGCTCCTGCAATGAAGATTTTTGTCTTTTACAACTCTGATGTTAGTTTACTGCATAATGGATAAACATACATTGATTAATTAAACCAAAGAGGAGTTAATATATAGTTTTTTTTCCAAAAATTGATGTGTGGTGTAAAATATTCTTAAAGATTATAATCATTTGAAGGGCAGGATCTTTTCTGTTTATCACTGTGAAACAATTTATTTTTAAGTTTAAACACTCGTGCTATGTACAAATGCATTAAATAAACTAGGAAGGTCAGAAATGCTTGCTGCCACATTTGCACTAATGGAAAACATAAAGCACTTTGCAACAGCATTCAGACCTTGAGACTAACATATTGTTTGATTTTAAAAGCATTTTGCAATGTTGCCACGGCGTGCTTCAGTGTATTTAATTGGGATGTTAGAGCAACATTAAACAGTTCATTATTGTAAAGCGCAAGGAAAAATATTTAAGCTTTTTAATTCAAATTTCAATTTTAATGTGTATTTGCATTTAGTGCATTGTCCTCTGATACCACTAAATAAACTACTCTTTCTCTAATTGCCTTTAAAAGTCCACATCTTTCTTAGCAAAGCCAACATGTGTTTAGTTTGATCACAGTATGAATGCAAGCTCTCTTTGGAGGCCTTGAAGGTTTCTCAGAAAAGCGTACTGCACAGCCTACATCACAAACACCCTTGAAGACTCCAGACAGAACAGAAAGTAAAACCGTAAAGATCTTTAAAGTAGGGGTAGCTTATAAAATAATATTCCAAACTTTGAAAAACATAGACCCTGCTACAACTGTCTACACCAGGTGGTAGCAGCATCATGTTGTGGTATATATATATATTTTTTTTCTTTAGCATCAGAGCACTTTGGATGAAAACCTTTTAGACGCCACAAAAGACAAAATATGGACTTAGTAATCTCTGTAAATCAAAACCGATTTAATGTTGATCTTGAACAGCATGGACAGAGTGCGTCTACAGTGCATATAGTTCGTGAAGAGTGAAGTAAGTACATGATGTGCTGTCACGCTTAATCTTTGAGGACAGATGCAAAAATATCTTGTACACAAGCTGTATAATTTAAAACAGTGATAACGCATGCAGTGATGGAAAAATCTCATTTATAAATGTTTGTCACAGTGAATTGTGTTCTCTTATCAAAATATGTAATTTTAAAATGTTTTTCATTATATCTTCCTATGTATCAGAGAATTAAGATGTCGAAAAATGGCTTAGACAATATTGCTACATGATAAAATATAAAGTTATTAATTTTTAATAAAAAAGTAAATACATGATGTCAAATGTACAGTCCCTATAAGTTAACTAGACTCCGTTATTAACCTTAGCAATGTAGAAAATGTACTGTAGACATCATCAAATCATAAATAGTACATAATTAGATAGATATAAAAAAGTTTTTAGTCTGACTGATCACTGAATAATGGAAAGGAGAGACGCAGTGTCCTCAGATGGCCCAGTCCTTCCACTGCTTGTATCTGTGGTTGTTTTTCCTTTAATTTTGCACAGTGATTGCTTTGAATAAGGAATAGCAAAGTTTAGCTACTTAAAAAGATACTTAACATGACTGCTGCACTTCTCTACAATGCTGAGGCATTTTGAGTTTAGCACGCTATAGCAAAAAGTCATAAAATATGAATCATGGTTTCTTTTAAAATATTCCTATATGACGCAGCAACATGTATTATGTACAGAATTACAATGCAATAAAACTGCATGTATAATTAAAAAACAATGAAGGTTATTTTTATGATCTTTCAAATATTTTACACAAACAAAAATATTGCAATGCTAAATTTTAACTTATTAATCAAATAACAATAGAATAGAACATTTTAACCATTGTCTGTACCCAAAACATATGTGAACATGAAGGAGTTTACCTCCATAACCAGTGCGCTGAAGGGAGATGTGTTTGAGCAGTTTCACTCTCATTTCACTGGTGGCTCCTGGTCTGTTGGGATCCTCTTCCACAAACACGAAGTGGGAATGGTGGCTGTCCAGGGAATACACTGCACCATGGGGCAAGTCCTGTGGTGTGTATGCTGCAGGCTCATCCACCTTATGAAAATTATTATAACAATGCACCAAGACTCAGGAGAGCACAAATGTATTGGGGTTGTTTACAGATGACAGTATTGTGTATCTGAGCGGAAACCTTGGCAGTGAGGAGAGCCTTTCGGTTGTGGATCATGTTCCAGGGTGCGATGCCAATGGCCACAACACGAACTTTAGAGGAGGTGCTGGCCAGGGAGTGATCTCTTACTGCCTGGCCCAAGTGCTTAGTGATGCCAAAGCGAAGGCCATTAGTTAAAATCCATGCCCCTGAAGAACAGAGAAGGAGTTGCACAACTACTGCTGCTCAGATGTTCATATTTACTAATCAAAGGCATGAATGTCATGTATAACTTTTCATAATGCACATGAACTATTCTTTTTCCGTAGTGGGATGATGATACAGCTGATGAACAAGAACTTTAGTGCAATTTATAGTGTCTAAACAAGATCAAATTAAAACATAGAGACTCAAAAATGTACATACACCCACACCTGATGTAGTTTATCAGGCTGCAGATAAACTACATGGCTTTTTGGACTGTCTTTCTGACACCTACTGAGTTTTTACACATAGTCCACATATTTTGGGCAGGAACCATTCCATCTGCTTTCTTGTTTTCATTATCTATGTTAAGAAGTCCACTTGGGGGTTCATGACAAGGCCTTCAAATCTGAAAACACTTTTCAACATGGGGATGACAACATCATACTGTGGGGCTTTCAGTGGTACTGTTGTGACTGAATCACATCCAAGGTCTTCAAGTTCACACTCAGTTAACAGCTAAAAATTTAAAACATGGACACAATTGGGTGACCTAACTTGGCAGTTCTCCAAAATCCTTTCAGAATCGTTTTGGAATTGATGAAGTAGCTAAACAATTTCTGGGAACTCCAAGATGTCAGTCTTATTAAAAATCCAGGGGACTGTGGTCAAAGTCAGGAAAAAGCATAACTTTTGAGCAAAATCTAATGGTTTTCATCAGAAAAAAAATGGGATATTTTTGAAAAAGCCCTTTTGATTATTTCAAAAAGTGTTTGGTTTATCTTTAAGTTGCCAAGGAACATTTAAGCAATTATTAGTGATGGTGTATGTAAGGATTAGACAATAGACATAATTAACTAAAATGTTTGAATCTAATTCTTGATGTCTTAAAAATTACATAAATAATGACTCAAGTACATGAATAAAAGTCTAAAATGAATATAACATCATGCTGATGATGAGTATATGAAAACTTCTGACGTCTAGTAAATTGGACAAAGCTGACTTAAACAGAAACACTTTATGGAAATTTATAAAAATATATTAGACTGGAAGGTTCTTTCTCAGATTGCACGAGTGCATTCACTGCAAATTAGATTTCTGCCCATTTAGTCATGAATAATGTGCGGGTTCTGCTAAAAGTGAATTATGCAATTTTACATTGTGCATAAAAATATAAAGCAAATAAGAAAACCGATTTAGAATTGAAACATTGTAGACAAAAATATACTGTAATGGTATTGTTGCTGATAACAATTCTGCCTCATTGCAGCAGAAGGCTAGACACAAGTTATTCCCTTGCTGTGAAAAGTCAAGGCCAGCTTTGGCCCACTGATTATAACCTGTGCTCTGTGCAGCTTTCACAAGTCCTTTTCTAAGAGTGTCCCTGAGCCAGGGCTTCATCTGAGCCAGCTCATCTCCTCCCACCAACGCCACGACCAAGTGTGGAGGAGAGAGGCCCCAGTCCTCTGTCAGCATCTTGTAAATCAAAACTGGGTCTGTGTTGCTGGACACCCTCACAAACTGCATTAAGGGAAGAGAAATATGATGTTAGGATCATGTGTTCAAATCAATTTCTCCAAGGATTTTTCTGAGACTTTCTGCAGCTTTTTATTGTTTTACTGTATTTATTTACGTTTTTTGCATTATTTCATCTCACCTTTCCTTTAGTCTTTGTAGATCCAACAAAGTCAATGTCACCCACTCTCCCAGCTGCCCAGTGAGTTTTCTCCTTCATTTTGTTAGCCAAGCCTCTGGCTACATTCTGAATAGTCTCATCCACTTTACAGCAACATGAGCAGCCAAGGAGGACACTGCAAAGACACAGGTAATTGCTCTGTGTCATAAAGTCATCTTTAGCACACAACAGGAAAGATTTAATTTTGAGTGACCCTGACGCACTTCTTGAAAACAATATACCAAATTATAAACTCTTGTGTAATCTGTTGCACAGTATCTTCTAACAATGTTATTGTGTTGCTTACTTTGTAGCAAAAGACTATCTAAGATGCTCATAACATGTCTTTGGCACTTCCAGGTTAAAAAAAAAAGTCACACAAGTTCACATAAATTCATTTCTTTACAGACATTTTAAAAACGTATTAGAATAATAACCTGTAAACTGTGTTATGTGCATTTCTGTGGAAACATTTCCTCTCTTGCAAGTTGCGTATCTTAGAGACTGAAATATATCATATCATTGAACAAATGTGAATATATGACAAAGACTCATTGAGTAAATATGAATGTATTATCAAATCAATTATATTATTCAGCCATTTGCAGAACAGATGAAGTGGGAAGCCAGTCATAAGATTTTGGGAGAGTCATTATCCACAAATAGAGAAAATATGAAACAATGGTGAATCTTCCTGGGAATGATTGGTCTTCCAAATGTATTCCAAGAGCGAGTCAGTGACTTATTCAGGAGGTCACAAAAGAACCTAACACAACAACTAAATCACTGCACACCTTACATGTCAAAGTTAATAATGTCCATATAATTCAACAACAACAGAGTGTCATTGAAAACCTATAGGAGTAAATGCAGAGAAAAATAGGTAAAGAAATCCAACATGAAGGCAGGCAGAAAAGATCCAACAAGGAATGACAAGATGCATGTAGTTAATTACAGTCACACTGCAGCTGGGAGAGAAGGCAAATGCATATACTGAGGAAAGATGAATAATGAACACAGAAAGAGCCGAACAAGGACTCAAAGGATCTAGAAGCAAAGGAAAAAGCTTGACAAATAATCTTAGAGACATAAATGCAAATACACCAGAAACAGAACACAAGAATAAACTTAGAAACTACATACAAAGCATCAAACACATACAGCAATATCAAACTAAATATGCAAAATCTGTTAAGCAACAATAAGGAGCACAAACAAATACACAAAGACAAATTAAACCCAAAACTGAAACACTCCAGGAGAGTGACAAAGAGATTGGATAAGAAAATTCATTCCTAGGAGAGTTCCCTGTCCCAATAATTGCTGAACAAAAAATAAATAAGACTTGCCTCACTTTTGCCAATAAAAACACTGTGATGATAACATAGATTTGGAAACATGATGTGAACTGATGAGATAAAAGCTAACTAAAAGGTTTGTTGGGATTGCTTTTTGTTGTACCTTTATAAATTAAACAGCTGAGAATTGGATTTAGTATTTTCTCATGCTATCTTTGTCTGATATCAAATTGTCTTTGAAGATCTGAAACATTTAACAGTAGTAAATAAAAAAGGGGAGAATACTTTTTTCATAGCGCTGTAGAATTTCACATTAAATAGTACAACTTGGCAAAATCAAACAAAAGAGGGACGTAGATTGAACTTTTAAACAAATTATACCTTTAGGCCCCTCCCTTCTCTATCACTTGCACTTTAACACTGCCCTACCTGCAGATGAGGCAGTCATGCAAGCAACAGGCAAATAGCCATAGCAACTGTAAAAGGTGCAGCAATACATATGGTTAGAGACTCACCTTCTGTTTTGGTTCCAGCAAAGTGATTTTTACATAGCATTCAGAATAATGGGCATGCCAAAATAATGTGATGACTTGTTGTTTTACATTAGAGGCTTATCAAGAGTTTTAAGTTTTTCTTTTAATGTTTAAAATCCTGCACAAGATGAAAGCATCTTTCAAAGTATAAATATTTTTACCCTGATGTTTTGAAGTTTGTAGATTTTTGATAAAAAATAAGAAACTGAGACCAGTAGAGGAATTCTGAATGCTTTGTGGTTTAGCCGTGTCGTCACTAATCCTCCTTCCTAACAATGTAGTTCAGAGCTACATTGTTATACAAAGCATTCTATTCTCCAGTTTAGAAATGACTTTTTCTCATGAATAATTAAAATAAAATAAAAAATATACTTGGATCTAGTTAAGACTTTTTAGTAATGCACATATGTTTGCCTCCTGTCGCAAAACCTCCAACTTAGTGCACTGATCTGAAAGAATGCAATTATGCTTTCTTTGCAATAAAACTATTCTCTTCAGTGTAAGATAAAGTTAGTTTAACCGATTTTTGTGCTGTTTCATATAGAGATATTTGGGTTGTGTTACACACAAGCAAACCAATGCTTTGACACACCTGTGCTCCTCTGACCACTCCAGCATGTCTCCACACTGAGGGCATCGTGTTTGTGGCTGCAGTGGCACCTGCAAACAAATAAATACACAGACATTAATCCCAGTTTCCACTAAATCCATTAAAACTCACTCACCAGCCTTATATGACTGGAAAGAGGGTAATAGGTATTTGTGGCTAATGCAAAGCTGGAGCAATTTTCATTCACGCTCCATATGCAAAGTGCTTTATCCAGTCCAGTTGCTTGAACTAACAACATAGCAACCATACTTCCTCAAATAGATAAAACTGGAATGTATATGGCGAGCCTATGAAGCAGGACTGATTTGATGCAGAACAATCTGACAAGAAAGTCAACACATTTGTCTCACATTTACATGGACTCTAAAAATATTACAAACCTCTTATAAAAGGAGGTAAAATATTTAATCTTCTTTAACATGATATATGTCCCAAAGAAACACATTTATATGAGAAAAATATGAAAAAAAAAAAAAAAATCCTGCAACAACCTATTTGCATAAGTGAGCACGCTAGTAAACAAATACATTAGTCTTATCCAGTCCTAGTCCCAGTCTGTCAATCATCCTGATGTAGGTACTGTTCATATCCTGCATGTTCTCTGCTACGCTACAGATTCTTCCTGATAGAGCCTGCCACAAATGCTCAGGCTAATTAGCATGGCTACAGATAACTTCGCATAACGTCATTTTCCAGTAAGTAAGCGTGCACACAAGCTTGATTGACAATGCCAGTGTCTTCCCCCTAACACTGATCGGTTAATTTTAGCTAAGAGCAGTGCACTTCTGCATATTGTAATAGTGGCACATGGAGGAAGGGAAGGACGTTGATTTTTTCACAGATTATATGTCTAATACCATACTGTCACGACGTACTGACAGTTTTAACAAACATGTAAGAAACTTCTTTTTAAATAAAAGTTAGATACTGCAACTTTAACTCATAGAAAACATTCAGTCAGTTTTCTGAAAACTATCTGAATGTAGAAAACTGTCTGAATGGGCGCGCTGGAAGACTCAGTTGGTGTAGCACACGTGCCATGTACAGAGGTTGCCGGTTATTATGGATTCAGTTCCAGGTTCAAGCCATTTGTTGCCTGTCTTTCCCCTCTCTCTCCACTCTATTTTCCACCTATATACTGTTCAATGAAGGCCACTACGGCCAAAAAAAACAAAAAAAAAAATACCTCCAAAAAAAATAAATTATGAAAACATAGGTGTATTTTAAAATTTTTT